CGCTCGGAATAGGTTGGGAGAAGCGCGAGAGTTTTGATAACGCTGCCGGCTAGCAGAAAAGGGGGCGACAGTCTAAATTCGGGACGGAACGTTAATAAACGAAAGGCGTGCACCGCGCGACGTGTCGCGGAAATGAATTTCTCTACGAGAGAAGCACCCCTGGCAATAATCGCACGCTCGTAATGCTCGCGCGAAACGAGCCACGTCCGGCTTCGGTTTTATCGTCGCTCGTGAAACGCGACAGATAGTTATCCATGAATTCTGTTCAGATTGTCTTCGTAAAATCAAGAACAAACGAATACAAATATTCGTAGAAGCTCTATGCCAGCTCGAGTCAACTTCAATGACATGCTTCCATTAGTTCCGTCGCGTTCCTATATTTATCCTGTTACTCGATCCAAAGAAGTGGATTGAGCAGAGAATAAGTAATCCGATAGGACAGTAAAATGTACTTCGAGTACGTCGATTCGCGTACGAAGAATTTATGATTTCTAAAGAGGTGGAAGCATTACGTTTAATTATATGCAGGACGTAAATGATCGTACGTCAAGGCGAAAATCATTATTGAGAGCTTAAAAGCAAGTGACGGCCCATTCTTAACGCGCTTGTACTTATCTCAAGCTGTAGTAGGTGAGAATCGAGGGGCTACATTCACTTAGGACGATCGTAAAATCCATTCTTAACTCGTCTGCCTAAGCTTGTGAGTTACCGTCTAATCTTAACCCTGTCCTGTCGGGTGTCACTTTGCGAAATGTCGAAGCACCCCATAATCCAAAATCCTTCAAAGCCACCTTTTAAAACGAAGAAGCCGGACGCCTTCTCCTCATTTTCCAACCACTCAATTTCCGCTAATGTCAACGTCCTCGGGATCTCGATTAGATCGACTGAAAATTTATACAAGTTTTAATCAGGAAACTTCGCAACTCGTGTCTCGAGTAAAAAATGTTAATTCGACAGTAAAAGCCGAGGTTAATTTCCGAACAGGGGGGGAAGAGCTTCTCGAGGAAGACGTAGGATTTTCTCATCGGCGTGGAACTTGGGCCAGGGAACGCGAAGCGTAGACGCGGCGGGCAGACGATTCGCTCGGCCTGGTCGTTAGAAAATCCCCAGTGGATCGATTCCCTTTGGAGGCGAGTCAAAGGGGTAGCGGCCTAGGGAGGCGGAGATCGGTAGGCTAACCGGCCACAAAAACGTAACGAGATGAAAGGAGAGTGCGCGCGAAAGACGGGGCCGAAGCATGAACGAGCCGGAATACATAAATAGAAATCTCGACCCGTCTCTCTCCCCATCGCGTTTCCAGCTCTGTTTCTCCCTTTCCCTCTTCCACCTTGTCTCGCTTCCTTTTTCTCTCTCTCGTTCCGCGTTGCTTTGCCGTATGTATGTAACGCGTTCTCTCTCGCGCGGATGGCATATATACCTACAAGGCGCACTAACCGGAGAGTGGCGGTAGTCTAGACGGTGTGTCGATTTTTGCCGCGGCACCAAATTAGAAACCCTTCCCTTCTGGATCCATCGCGCGGTTCCTCACCGTCGGTCCCTCCCCCCCCCCACTGCCAGTTCTCCTTTTTTTCTCTCCTTTCCCTCTTCGCGTCCGAGGCCGCAGACTCTTCCCAACTTCTCTTTTTACCGCGCGTTTCTCTCGTTCTCCTCCCGGTCGTATCTCCGTATCTCGTGAACGGTTGCATACGAAATCGCTTAAAGGGGATGAACAGACGCGGAGGCGGCTACGACGACCCTCTTTATGCGCCTTGTGACTCGGCCCGTGCAAATATTTTCGCTCGACCCTGCGTGACTTTATCCACTGCCTCTCTACCCACCATCTTTCAAGGATACTTTTCGGCGGTACAAAAGCGGGGGTCGACACCTGACGGCGATGAAAACCTCGTTTTCGGGACTCTCGAACCAGAGTAGACCGTTTACCATGAAAAGTATTTCAATCCATCTTTGGGTGGAACATTTCAGCAGTTAATCGACATCGTCAAAAGGGGATAAGACGTATTTGATTTCACTATCCGGATATTATAACTATTAAACAGAAATTGTATTAACTATAATAGAATTATATTATAAGAGGGAACGTAAGTTTATGTTACTGAAATTTTTTAATTACTTTTATATTGTTATTACTCAATTAATGGAAACTGTATTTCGTACATTATATGGAACAGGAACAAAATAAATATTTAATATTACTGAGAATTTTCAATTGATTTCACAGTTACAATACGTAGCATAGCGAACGGGGTAACGAGCTTACGTGAAGGCTCGAGCAAATTCAAGCTGCTGAATGCAAAACATCGGTGATCCTGTATTCATCCCCTCCTGTATCGGTCGCGTGCATACACTTATGTAAACACACGTTAGGAGCGCGTGTCGGGGGCTAAGGTATCGCATAAAAGGCGCATAAAGGTCGATCGCGAAGGGAGGAAAAATCGGTAGGGTTAATCCGGTGGCCGAGCAAATTGTGTTCGCAGCGGAAGCTCTTCGCTTTCATTACCTTTAACTCCTCTCCCGGCCTGTTTTAGCCCTCCATCCGAGAGGGCAATTACCCCGACTCTTCTCAGATCCGTTTCGGCGATCTCTTCCTCGATTCTTTCGATTCTCCTGGCCGGTCGAATTAAAAGTTCCCGTTTCCGCGTTCGTAGAAATCTCAGTTCGACTTCACCCAAAAGAAAAGCTCCGTTCTTTTTGTAGGAACGATGATCGAGCGTCCAAGTTATTCCCTAGTTCAAGTTGCTCACGACGACGATCAACCCTTTCAAATAATTGTCGGACAGTAACGTTTGAAATATTTTCTCTGTAGGAAATAGATTAATTGTGTGCTGGGGTACACAATTACCGATAGAGATAACAAGAATTCACTGTGTAAGCTGATCAAAGGGTTGACCATGAAATATACAGATGTATGGGACGGAAAAAGAGACGTGGACCGTACCATGAAAATCGAGGCGGGTTAAGCCGAATTGATTCACTGGCTCGGGTTTTGGTTAGCGCGAGAAGACAACACGGTGAAATTAATAACTGTGCAGGCAAGCCTGCAGAGAAAACATCGATTTAGCTGCAATTAAGGGATTATTCTGGACTATTCACGGCGCAGCGGGCACGGAAATTGCGTCCGATCCGATCGCGATTTGCACGCGTTCCGGTAATCATCGGCCCGCCGGTACCTAGAAATTGCTCCTAAGTGGCAAGATACCTTTTATCCTTTTACAAAATTTTCAAACAGAAGCAACAGATTTCCTAATCGTCGATTCAAATAAAAATACAAAAGACCTTCCACTGATTATTCACTAAAAGAAAACAAATGTTTATTATGTTCATTCGTACAAAGTTTCATGCAATTCTAGATTTTAGTGTTCTAAAAAGTATGAGAGAAATGATACGAAATAGCGTCGATAAAAATATTCTTGAAGGAATTTCAATAACGAAAGTTGGAGAACAATTCCGAGCGAAAGATTCACGTTTGAAATTGTATCCCGAGCGAGTGCGAACCTCAATTGCGGATTTACGATCAAGCTTCGCTTCTCCTCGGTCCGTTTAACCCCTTTCGCTTCTGGTACGTGGGCTCTGTGCCGTGGATTGCGGCGTAATACGGGACCATCGAGAACTCGTCTGACAAATGGAGGGAGCGAGACACGGATGGTCATCCAAGAACCATGACTGAATCGCTTCCAATTTAAGATGCCGTCCTGGGGTTAGAACTCGTTTCGCACCCACCGCGGTTGAAAGTACCCCGTCGCTCCGCTCCGCTTGCCGACAATTCGAGCTTGTCCTCCTATCTGGATTTCTATCCGCGGTCGACAAGTGCCATTACTTCGCGAGATTCGTGAGACTAAACTCGAAATAGTCTCATCGAGACAGCCATGCTAATTCCTTAATTAACTCCCGGAATAAAATTCATTCGCTATTGAGTCAAGACTGATATTTTTTAAAAATGACAAAAATTCATAAATATATCACGAAAGGTGATCAACTCGTTTCTAACGAATAGCTCTCTTTGCTAACCGAGAAATTTCGAAGTGATACAACTGAAAACTTAAGGAATTTCTTGTGGCTGAAAACACGGGAAGAGTAACATCGATCGGAATCGATATGTTTAGACCGAATTCCGGCGGGTAGTAATCCGTGGCGTTCGAAAAGTTATTAAATTTCCCGGCGAGGCGGGGTCTCGGGGGGCGGATTCCGCGAGGTAGAGAAGTTTCGGCTTCTTCATACGGAAAAACGAGTTTTCCGGGTTAGAGAAGTCCAGAAATTTCAGGCCGCAGTAAACCCCGCTTCTGAAAGCTAGATCTCCGGCCGAGAAGCACAGGCAAAACTTCCTGTTTGCCCGAAACTTTGCGAAATCTTCGCCCGGGACTCGGCCGAATGGGATACGCGAAAGGACCGCCTCGAGATTCGTGTAGACGATTGATAATAAATGAGCTAATCCACTTACTGGCACCGTTCTCCTATATTTTGTGTCCACCTTTATAATTAGAATAGTATATGACGAAAATGCGTATATTATATGGTTTGGGATTTCATTAGCAGTATGTACTTAGCATATGTACATATTTTGACAGTAACTGCAACCGCATTCAATTAAATCAAATGGAATATTCATATACAATAGGGGAAATTAATATAATGCAAATAGATCTAGTGTTACAATGTATTTTTGGGATTGAAAGGTTTCACGTGATATTCGAGAGAAAATCGTTTATGAAATACAATATATTTGATTGATACAAATTAAACGACGCTCTATCTACCACACTGTTCCGTGCTCTCTTCTCCCTTATTTCATTAAAACTGAACTTTCGAGTCATAAAAATGTTTTCTGGGGACAACTAGTAGATTTCCGCCGAATACCTGGACACCATGTGACGCACACTAAGTAGCTCCGTTGTAAAAGCCTGTGCCTGAGCGACTATTTTGCACTCCCACATATTACAGGCATATTTAAATCAGTCGAAACAATTATTTGTTCGTATACTGAAAATCCACTTATCTGTTTGCAGACGAAGATCGAAAGTAGTGATATCGTCCGCGAAGCCTGAGGACAGCGGCAGATACGAATGCGTGGCCGAGAGTACCTCCGGTCATCACGCCTCGCTCGCGGCCCAGCTTCTAGTCGCTCACGATAGAACCCAGGAAACCAGTGAGTATCCCGCAATATACACAAGCCAGATTATTTTTGTCATTCGTTCATTAGAACCCTTTTTCTCTCAGAAACAAACGCGACAATGCAAAACAGTGTATACTCTCTTTGCACGTTCTTTCAGCATCTTCTTCGACCTCGATCACAAAACGCCTATTCATTTGCATGTCGTTAATAAAAACGCAGTCATTGTTTGATATAGAAATGTATTGAAGAGGTGAGAACGTTTGGTAAATAAAAGGAAGGGACGGTTTTTGTACTGGCCCAGATCGATGGATTGATCGGTCGACGAAACACCTGCGCGTACATCGTCCGAGCCGCATTTCAGTTTTCACCCGTCTGTTGTCACATAAACTCCGGTGGTGCGTGCCGCGGGATCCCCCCATTGAATTCGCGGAAAAAATAGCTGAGCGCGTTACACGCGTCGCAAGATGCGACTTTCTGCCATCTGCAACGTTTCGACTACTCCATTGTCTTTTTCTTTATTCCTGACCGAGAATGGAAACTACAAAACAAGGAGACGATTCTATTCAGAAATATAGCGTAAACTTATATATAACTCTTAATACAGTTTATTTGCCAATATAATTAATTTATTCATAGTTTCTATATAAAACATGATGAACAGTTTAATAGTGAAATTAATAAAACGCAATACTTGAGTATCTTTATTTGCCTGACGACATGACAGAAACAATAAAAGAAATAGAGATCTGAGTTTATTGTTAGAAAATCAATCGGAGCGTCTGGAAAACGAAAATAACGATCCAACTTTTATTCGAGGACAAATATCAGATTCGCGGTTTTTACGGTAGTCTCGCCGGCGATCCGACCACAGGTTTGTGTATAAACGTCTGAAACAGTTCGCATCGGCGCTATATCGATCGGCTTAGACCCGGCTAAACCTCTAGCCAGCTGAACATGGCCGAACGTTAGTTTATGGATTTTCATAATACCTCGCAACATTCGGCGGAGGTCCTCGTCCGGTGTATTTATGTCCACGACGGACTGGAACCGAAACGGGAACAGTTGGGCCCAGGGAAAAACGCGAAACTCATGTAATATCTAAGCGTACTTATACGAGCAGGTTCGGTAACTCATTACAGCAATTTCGACCACCAATTCGAAGAATCGCCGTCAGCTGAGGAAGAAATTCTTGGTTGGAAATAAGTGTGAAATCGTTGAAACTGTTCCAAGAACGTGTAGAAAGAAATATCGATTTGTACAGGACAAGAAAGTGAAGAATTCAAAGAAAGAAATTGGAACACATAATAGTATAATATAACATAGAATTGATGCTCTGTTCAGATCGAATCTGTATAAAAAATGAGCAATTTTCCTTGGGGCGCAAAATTATAAGATTTCGTTGGATCATCTTGATAGGATATAAACGTCGTAGGCAATTAGGACAGAATGTGTTTAGGATTACAAGACTTTAGCGAATCTCATACGATTATGGACATTGTAATTGAATTCATATTTGGAAGGTACATGCGTGGAGATACTAAAGTGGGCCAAATAGACGTACGCGAGTGATAAAGCAAGGATTAAGCACCTGATGCGATAATACCGGCGCGGATCCAGCGGTTCCGGCGAGGCCCGGAAAGCTTGCGGTTCACCGCTACCGTGGGGGCTGCTGGCTCGTATGACGGACAAAGGGCGACAATTACAGCCCTGCCAGCCACGTCAGGGTTTCATATAGCTCTCTCTGAACTGCTGATGGCGGGTCAGCTGCCCGTTTTCGTGTACATACGAGTACCCCTGGCCCGTCTCGTAAATTCTGGAACGACGAAACGTTGTCTCGATTCACGTGCTAAATTCCTCGTCGTTTCCTCAATAGAGAACAAGAATCAGAAGGGAAGCGACAATTAAGAGTTTTATTAATAAAATTACTGTACATTATAATACATACGTTGCATCAATGATACACAGAATGCACTATGATAGTTATAAACACACTTGATAAGCAGCTATGGATTGAAGCAGTTTCACTTTTCCTCCCGATTTACATTTTACACCCTGGGGACGCTACCCCGAAAGGGAGGTTCCGTTGTTTAGCCCTTCTCGATTGCGGTAACAGATTGTGGTAATGTTTATAAACCCGAAGTTACTCGAAAGAGCGGTAGCTAGGCAGACTGCAATAACATTTACCACAAACTTTTACTACTCGGCTCGAATGTTGGCCGTCTCTCTTCGCGGCCGCACTATGTTCTAACAATTGCCGCGCGCACGGTCGCAATGGCACGCTTTTACTACCGCGGAAGTGTAACTTGATACAATAACGCTTGTTCCGCGTCGTTTAGCCCGGAAATGGCTGACTTACCAGCCAGCTATCGCGAGCCAGCCCGACCTAGCACGGTGAGATCAATGAAATTATATGCACCGGAAAGATCTCCCACTAGAAATTCAATCATGAGCCTTGTTAAGCTCCCACCGTGGGTTATCGACAGCGTCGCGTCGCGGGTTCGAGGAACGTCAAGGGGGAGACGAACCGTTGTGCAATCGTGAGATCGAGCTAACGTCAAGGTTTCGTGCTTAAGTTCCTACGGAAGAAATCCTCGAGCGGTCAAATAGCCGAGGGGCCGAAAGAAAAGGAGTGGAGGCGTTTCTTTTGTGCGACGCCACGAGTGCGCGCGTCAGCTCGCTTACGGAAAACGTGAAATTGTGAAAACCCGAGACAGGTGGATACTGCAGCAGCGATATATTTTGCTTCTCGAGCAGCAGCTTCTGTCGTCTTTTTGAGAGAACAGTTTTTTGAAAGTCCTTTGATGCCTCGTGAAAACAAACATGGTTCGAGCATCGATTTTCCCTGGTATTTTACCGGAGGACAAAACAAAGGGAGAAGTTGATTATCAGAGACACGACTAATGACTCGAGTTAAATAGCGATACACAACGGGTATAACTATAGCGAAACGGAGAAAGATTCGGGGAGAGATATTTAACTCTGTTTAATACCCTTGAAGGTGAAGAGACGAGGGACAGAGGGACAATTAGAAGGCAGTCGGCATGGGGGCGATGGAATGATGAAATAGGAACAATTACCAACGGAAAGTGAACTCCTTCCTCCTTTCGCGAGAGCGATACGCACCCCGTGGTGCTCTTCGTTGTCTTTCCGGGGACATTGTTTTCTTCTGGAGGAGACGGGAGGGATATGGAGCTCATCGCTCTCGCGGAATTAATTAGCAGCGCACCAATCAACTGTAGTCTCCTTCAGAATGATTACAAAGCGAAAGATATTCGTTCGCCGACAGCTTACCTCGCGAACCTCTTAATCCTTGCGATACCATTTGGTGCTCATTAACTCCTATAGCGTTTATAGCTCATAGGTACTATCAGCTTGAAGAGATTAAATTTTCTCTTTACTGAGATACGCAAACAGGTATTTTTTTCCGCTCGAAAGAAACATTTCACAACCGAGACTTAAAATTCTTTTTACGTTTCTGCGAACCCTCTTAAACTCTGAATTTTAAGAAGACTTCTCGTATCGCGGAAAGCACGCGCGAAACCTTAAAAAAAGAGAACCGTACCAGGGGAGGAGAGGTATCGTTGGAAAGACGCGATAAGGCGTAAAGCATTCGCCGCGTAACGAATAAACTCTCCCCGGCGGGGGTGGCACGAGGCATTGTCTCGGAAGTGGCGCATACACCTTCCTGCTCCTCGAAAACTCCGAAACTGTCGCGCGATTTCGCGGTACCCGTCGTCCCTACGACGGATAAACAACCTCGGGTCTCGACGGGATGAAGTGATACGTACTACACGTTTGACTGTATATACAGCTCGGGACAATGATTCCTGGCCAGCTCTGGCTTGTTTTAATTTTCAAGATTAAAAAACAGTAATAAATCTATGTCTTTTTTCAATGCTCGATCAAGCGTTGACGCTACTATATTTTGGCATAATTTTGACGTTTCAAAATGGAAACAATTTTAATGGGGAAGTTTCATACGACATTATTTGTAGCTGACAAGTAGAGTTACATACGTCGACTCATACTACTTGCTCCTACCTGTTATCATGTATCCATGTACACATGGAACCACTGTGACATCGTACGCACACACGTACTTACATAAAAAAGAATATAGTAGTGAACTTTTATAAATTGCTGAGTTAAAAGATATTGGAAGAGTATCGTAAGAATTTTATCGAACAGTTGTAATTCTGAAAAATCTTAGCTCTATAACATCTCCCGCATCTGGATTCAAAATGAATTAAACAAGTCGTCAGATTGTAGATAGACGCGCATCCCGGGAGTGGATAGGAATAATATTATGCGATGGGGCTTGGAAGTCTGTCGCGATATACAACAAGCGAACAACGGTTTTCAGGCAAAGCGTGGAACGCGCGTGTTGTATGTCGGGAAACTCCGTCGCGTGAGAAATACGCCTCCCGCCGCGGCCGTTCGCTTCGACGAGCCCTAAGCGGCCCTTCGTCCAAACTAAACTACCCCCGGCCTTGTGCCCCACACCCGCGAACGTGCATCCTTGAGATATATAAACTTCTATACGAAACTTGCCCGGAACAACTGCGGGAATCCCGCGAGTAATAATTGCGCGTCGAACCGCTTACACGCGTGATGCTGAATAAATCTCGCGCACACGCTTATTGTTTCTATTTAGCTTCCCAATCAAAACTTTAACGCGTAGTTAAACGGGAAACGCGTATTCAATTAGTTGAACGCAAGTATTAATTGCGTTCTCGATTAGTTCCCGGATACTTTGAATTTTAAGTTGTTTAAAATGAAATTCTGAAATTTATTCAATTTCAAATTCGCTTCTTTACTACTCAATAGATATCTAATTAATATGCACAATAAATTTCATTATCTAATCTCAATAATATGTGTATAACAGCGAATTTGAAATCATTAGCCAGATTACTCGAAGCGAGTAATCTAACTAATGAGAGAAACGTCATGAATGAAGGATATAAATGAGCATTCGTTTCGAGTGCACTTATTCCTAAAAATGGGCTGGCGTGTTCCGTGCCGCGCTCGCTCAAGAGCCAGGAAAGTCGTCGAATTGTTGCTTAATCGCGACGCTCATTGCGTGAAGCGGGCGAAGCGGCACTCCGACGAATTTCAATCGCGCTTCAGTCGGCCAATTCCAAGCGTAATGCGATGCAGAAACCGCGCGCGATTTAGCTCACCGTGCACACACACACGGCTGCGCGTACGGTCTTTGTTAAGCATGGGACGTGGCGCAAAATTTCGTACAGACCCCAGTCTAGTCTTTACAATAGGACTCGACCGAGTGAATAGACGTATGGGCTGTTTACTGTGCGACACAGCGCGTGCATCGAATCCAACGTCGTCAACCGGCTCTACGTACATATTTAGTATCTTGTATTCTTTCCATCACGTATATTTCATTTTTTCTTGAAGAACCGTAATTAATATCCAACATTATATAAACTGTATTACGCAAGAGCGGAAGGAAATTACGTAAGAGTCGCCGGATCGTCTTTGGAGGTGGCACCTCTTTTTACCGGAGTTGCATTTGTATCACGTCTGCTAATTAGCTCCGAGACGCGGGACAACGGTTTAATTATCGAGGGAGGGTCTCGTTTTTTAACGAGGAGCTAAGGAAGAACAGAGTGACGCCGTTGTTCGCTTATTTATCGTCGCGCGAGGCTCATCCACCCTCGAATTTTTCACGGCTAACCCCCCGACGCTAATGAGCTAACAATTTCTATGACTAGAATTTGGTCGCTGTTATTTTGTCCTTTAACTCCTTTATCTTTTGTACGAAGAATCAAGACAGTCCTAATAGATTTTCCGCTTTGTACATTCCACCAATCTAATCCTTCCATTTGATCCAGCAAACTGGATGAAAATAACGAAACCGCGCAGAATACGTTAATCGAGTCTCGCGAAGGAGAAGAGTCGACAATTCAATCGCAGGATCAAAAGCTGATTCGAAAGCCGGTTGATTTTCCAGCTACGCGTCATCCTCGACGAAACTCGAGGAAGGGAGGAACGGTACAACGTACAGCAGAGAGTAAAACGCGGGGGTGGTGAAACGAGCTTTGAGCGAACGGTAAAAGCATTAACTCGTTTCCCTCGATCGACGCCCCCCTTTTTTCCCAGCGACACGATGCTCGCGATAACCGGCCACGACGTGGTACGTCGGCGTACGTGCATCGGAAACGACGAGCTTATATCATATGGAATTTTATATAAAGCCAGACACACCCGGATCGTGTTTCGCGTACCGGTTAGACCTTGTTGCAATTTGAGTGCAGGCGCTTCCACTCGAATTTAGACGTACAAATGGAAACCAGCACCTATCCGTATCAATATTAATCTACGTTTGTACCGAAGTAGATTCTCATTTCGAGATGAATCGTTCCAATTGTGTTAATAGAATACAATTTTCCACAGTTCCATTAAACAATAGCTTGTTGCTTATAATACTTATTATTAATTCATTCTGTGTATTAAGCATCAGACTATGAGTTTCAAAATTAATTCGTGATCGAAATAAAGATCGACTATGTCGCGCAAGCATTTTACGATGTCATTCACTCACGCGTCGACACAGGATTCCGGTTCGAGTACGGTCGAGCAGTCAGCCAGCCGTCGAGCAAAAATCTTATCAACGATCGGATCGGTGCGGGGACGATGCGAAACGACGGGACAGGACGGGCGTGTTCGCTCATGCAACGAGCGTTTTTTCGCCAGCGTTCGCAAAAGGGTTGGAAGCCAAGAGAAATCGACGCTCGAGCCCGCTGGAGATAACAATCGACGGGGGAAAACGAAACATCATGCTCTTTACCCCGGATTTGCTCGCTCGTTTTCTATTCCACCTCCGTGGTGGGCATCGGGCTTTTTTATTTATCGTTGAACCAACGGTTCCGTTATGAACCATCGAAAACTATTGTGCGCGTGAATCTGTCTGACCAACGCCGGACCTATTCTACTGACGGCCGAGAATCGCCGTGCCCCCGTAACGCGAGCACGGTATTTTTTATTTTTTCCCTTCCTTTTTTTTTTGTTGCGTTCTAGTTTGTACATATATGCATGAGACCGTTGCATTGTTACCAAAACAGGATACACCGTTTATCTCCCGGGTCACAATGTTGGTTTATTTATACGCGAAAAATTCCGCATCGATCGAGTTACACAGCTATCGATAAACTCACTAGGTTTTCTACGGTTTCCACTCTCTCTCTCTTTCTCTTTCTCTCTCTCTCCTTTTACAGGCGACGCGATGGGCTGTTTAATGAAAACCCATCAACGTCGACGCTAATTTGCCGTCGGGAACGAAAGTCGGAGGCGGAGGGGAAGAGAGGGATGCTTTCAAGGA